ACCGTACGTACCGTACGTACGTACGTACGTACGTACTACGTACTTCGTACTACTAACTCTACGTTCTCGTTCTACGTCTCTACTACTCGTACTACTCTCTCTCTCTCTCTCTCTCTCTCTCTCTCTCTCTCTCTCTCTCTCTCTCTCTCTCTCTCTCTCTCTCTCTCTCTCTCTCTCTCTCTCATCCAAAAGCTAATAATACCATGCGAGATGCTGCAGTTTCTATGACAAGAGTCTCGTATTATAAGGGAAAAACTAAGTCAACGTGAAATCACAGGTTCTTCTCGATTGGTAGGACTGTGCCTAACAAATTTTGTTGAGTCAATAGTATGCTATGTAATTTCATAAGACATCTAAGGCATTAAAAAATTCCAATAAGCCCTGATGTATCAAAGAGTTTTTTATAGTACAACTGAAAGTTCATCACAGTTCTGTAATGATGACAGCATTTTTATCCTATAATAGCATTCATTATAGCTTACCGGGAACAATTGACTATAATAATCTTCAATTGTTAACATACTGTTCCATGAAAACAGACATCCATTACCAAGAAACCAGCATATGGCAATTGCAGCAAACCTCCCCTGCAAACCACATGTCATAATCAGTTAATTCTTCTACACTTGTCAGCAATATCTCAAAACATGTGAAAGCATGAACTTCTAGAATATAATTTATAGAACCTTGAATCAATATGAGAACTTTTTAGATAGTAATTTGAGAAAGCAAATGATTTCTTCCATCAATTTTTATGTTTTGAATCAATTTGAGATCTTCCTCAATGGAAAATTGAGTCACACTACCTCAAGCCTAACTGAAGCCACAAGCTCATTAGTTCTGGTTTCCATGGCTGCTTTCTTTTGCGGACTCTAGTGACTGTCAGAAAATTGGCATCACAATACAAACAAATAGAAATCTTGCCCCAATCTATTTAAATTTAGTTGGGTTAATAAAGCCAATAACATGAATCAAAATTATTCAACTCTGCATAAGCAATTATTGATGTTACATGTACAATTCAAATAAAGGTCTCTGTAGTGAGCAAAACATCAAAAGACACTCCTACAACTTGCAGTAAGACCAATAAAAGAATGACAGAGTGTGCAATCAACAAAAGAAAGAATAAAGGGGAAGAGGAAAACAAACTCTAGGAGGCTTCACTAGGGGTTTTTAGAGCTCATATTTTATTTTGAAAGGACGGTTTTTAAACATGACAAACTAGGACTATGAGTTATAAAAGATGGGAAAGTATATAATGATTCACTACAGGGTTATGGTTTACAAACAGTAAACTAAACGTGACCTCAAACACCTTTTTTGACAATGGATGGATGATGTAACCTATTCCTCAGCTCAATGTCTGCTTTTACAGGGAAATGTTCATGTCAACTGTTCATACTACATCCACCATGTTGGATATCATTAGTTATATAATTTATGGCAATCAAAATAAAACCAACAACAACATGATGACTTGTAGAATACGAATCTCCAAGGCAGTACTCTCCTCTCTGTTTCATTCTAACAATTGTAATAAGAAAAAAGTCATTTCAGAATAACAGAAAAAAGTCATTTCAATATAAGAACTTTATTGTCTCTCATATTCTCAAAACAGAAGAGAAAAGAAAAAAAACTACGTGTCAGTTTGCAATATGCTAAAGGATGCTGAATAAAAAGGAATGGAACATTAATTTACACAAAGAAGAACCCATAAAGCCTATCATTGTTATACAGTATAAATTACTACTATACCACCCTATATGACTAATCGTTGCCAAAAACAGCCTCAAACATCGAAAATAGGTCGCAGAATGTCTAGCCTTATTTAATACAAAGTACAAAGCTTAGCTCAAAAACCCAAACTCTAGAACGAATTGGGTCACGGAGAAGAATTCATCCATTCCTAATTAATCCAATTGAGAAATGTTTAATGACTATAGTAAGTATATGGAATTCATTTTTCCTTTTGCATAGGTCAACAGTAGAAATCAAACTTACGCTGTAGCATTGCAATCATCAACAACTAATCAAGCAAAACCAGGTCCTGTTGTATACTAAGTCTCTAAAGTTCCTGATAATGCTAATTGCATATAAATGCTCTATAATCCAACATTCAACTGATTTTAATAAAAGAATTGGGACCTGACACAATAATTCCTTAAGACACCAGATAATATATAGAACGACAAAAGTTCAAACACCCAGCAGGGGCTTGAGGCTTGGTGCCTGCCTGAGCCAAGTAACTTGAGCAAGTCCGAGTGGACTTGGAAGTAGTGTATGAGCATAAAAAAAGGCTAAAACATGGGGGGAAAATTACAAATTTACTTAAAATAAACATAAAGGTAAAAAGCAAAAGAAGTTATATGGGGCATTCGGAGTCTATGAAGATGGACAAACGTTCTAAAAATATGGAATAAGGAAGAATTTGGGTTATAACTTGAAACAATTCTGATAAATTGTTTTAGAAAAAAGAAAAAATAGGAAAATAGAAACTATAATGAGAAAATTTCACAAATTAAGGAAAAAAATCATGTCCACATCATGTGATTGGTGGAAGGGTGCACAAGGCCATATCCAATGGACAAGAATTAGTCTTATATTTTATTTTTTATTTAAATAATATATTTATTTGAATTTTTTTGGTGTAGGTGTATTTTTATAAATATAATTAAGTTAATCAATATTTTAAATAGAAAAATGGTATTTTGATCATTTTTCTATTTAAAATATTTTTTAATCATTTTTATTCAATTCTACTCATAAAAATGAAGTTAATACCAAATTTTATATTAATCATTTTTAATAAAAAAAAATATAATACAAAATTCAATTTTGAGCCTTGGATGAGGCTGTTTCAATCTGAACCATTAAAAGGCGCTGGTGCACCTTTTAAGCTCCCACAGCCTATGGACGCAATACCAAACCCTTAGTAATATAAATTCCTACAGAAATCGCCTTGGCACCCTGCCGAGGCTGAGTTCCTCTGGACTCCGCCCAACCACAGTGAATTTCGCCTCGATTCAATCAACAAACACTGACTTGCCGAATAGTATTCTCGCAAACAAATAAAACAACGGAAAATGCAACATTTTGACATCCAATTACAGTCCTTATCTTCATAAGCAAAGGAACAACACGAATCAAATCACAACAACAATTTAATATGCAAAGCAGCAATAAAAAACATCGACCCACAAGGAAAAACCAAGAAGTCTGATTTAAAAGTTTACGTTCCTAACCTTTTAATGCAACCGTATACCATATGTTATACAGAAAAATTACCCACTCCCCATGCTAAAGCACGCTCAAAATATATTAAAAAAAGATAACAGGGGATAAGAGAAGCAAAAAGACCTCATTCTATTCTTCATCATATAAACCGAATCCATAACAGAGATCCAAACAGGAAGAAAAAAAAATGGAATGAAAAGAATATTAAACACTCAAATTCGAATATTTTCAGTGAGAGAGAGGGCCTTGCCTTTGACGCTCCCAAGCAACGATAGAAAGGAACTGAGAAACTAACAGAAGTTGCAGTGTGACCAAAAAAATGATGTGAAAGAGAGGGGAAGAAGATATAAACACATGGGTCCAAAGATAGATAGATGCAAAAGCGGAACTGCATTAATCCGGAATCAATGAGCAACCAGTCTACTACTTTTTGACCTACGATATCTTCGACACCAAACTAAATCCTGCAAAATGAATGGGAAAGTATATACTACTAAGAAAATTACCCCTTTCTTGCGTAAAATAAGAATGTTACCCCTAAAATGACAACGAATACCACACCAATTTTGGGTAAGGCTTCGAAATCTTTTCTATTTTTTGTGACAAGGGTACTTCTATTTCATTAAATATAAATACATTACCAACATAAGCAAAACTCGAACAATCAAATACCTAAGATACAATCAATTTTCAAACCGAGCGCTCCCCTTTTAGCCAAAGAGTCCACCCATTTGAGCCTAAGGTTACATGGTGTTTTCAGTTCCCTCATTCACCATTTGATGACATTTAAAGAATCTCCTTACTCAAAACATGAAACGGTCTGAAACCTCTATAACACCAATCGAAGTCCTTGTAATAGTGACTCAATCTCTGCAAAATTAGCGATAACACATGGCCTTGCATAACATACCAACACATCTCCATTTGGATCCCTTATGAATTTTCCAAAACCAGCCTACCCCGGATTGTCACAAGAGCTTCGTATCGAAATATTCGCCATACACTATTTAAGGGCTGACCAAATTGCATACAATTTTGGCTAAAGCACGTTTGGTATGCATGAAAAAATTTTGTAAAAGTATTTTCACATAAAATAACTCCCTAATGTAATTAGGTGTTAGAATTTTTCACACCAATTGATCCCAATGTATTTTTTATATATATTAACAGTAAATTAATGTGAAAAATCTCTTGCACTTAATCACATGCATAAGTTCTTTTATGTAAAAAAATTTCTATAAAAATATTTTGTGCCTTTGTTTTGTTTTGGAAGGCAGTAGAGCTGTGGGGTGACTTTCTAAATTGAATTTTCTATAGGTAATTGTAACGCCCCAAAAAGGGCTTGGATATAAATTGGTCATTTAAAAAACAAAGTTGGTGGTCACTTATTATAATTTTTGAAGTTTTGAAAGGAAAGAACGAAAAAGTACAAGCAAATCCGTAACGACGCTGTTGACTTGATGATGGGTGCCGATACTACGCGTCCGAATCGTCATGGGCCCACCGAAAATCTTTTACCTTCATTTGGTGTGTCAGCGGACTCGCCTATTAGAGACTAGGTGCACTTTTACCCTGAATCATCAGATGCACAATCCGATGGCTAATACCGTCGTATCATCATTCGACCTAGACGAAGCTTTTAATTAGGGTGCGGATTGTTTGTATAGAGCCTAGGCTCTAAACAATCAAATTAAACCGTACCTTCAAATAGTATCAAGAAATACAGTTTCAATATTAAAAAATTTTATGATAGCTTTAAAATATATTTTTATATTTATTTATAAAGTTTAACGTTTCAAAAATAATATAGATCGACAGATCTACAAAAACTTGAAAATCTTATAAATTGAGAGTCCAAAAATACATTATAAAATACACTATTTCCAAAACTTGAAATTCATTTTTTTCTCACATCCATGCTTCTTGCAGTCGAGATGATCAATTTGAGGATATTTAGGCATCAAACAACCGCTTCTAGCGAAATTTTTGATGTAGGCTCAAATTTGATTGTTTTGATGCCCAAATATCTTCAAATTGATCATATTGACACATGAGAAAAAAAATGGACTTCAAGTTTTAGAAATATTGTATTTTGTAACGCATTTTTGGACCGTCAATTTTCAAGATTTTTAAGTTTTCATAAATCTGTCGATCTACATTATTTTTTAAGCTTTAAACTTTATAAAATAAAGATAAACATGTATTTTAAGGCTATCACATAGATTTCTAGTATTAAAATCACATTTCTGGATACTAGTTGAAGGTAGGCTCTAATTTGATTGTTTAGAGCCTAGGCTCTATATAAACTTTTCCCAACACAATTTGGCATCTATTAGACCCTCTTCTATACAACTAGGAAAATTGTTTCATACAGGCAAGACCGCATTCCAATATATGCGGCCCAGAACATGTAAAGCATCCATCTTAAAGATGGATGCAAGTAGGTGTTCTATCTAAAAATAATGGAAACTAACGATCCAAATGTTTTCTTACTAGAATTGTTATTTTTAGTTTTTAAATTTTATTTATTTATTCATATTCATGATCTCTATGTTAGAGATTACATATCCTTAAAATTTAAGTCCTAAAAATTATATTAGTATACAACTATTGCATGAAATCATTCCTCAAATCTAAAATAAATATCCTAAGCAACTCTCCTGGCAAATTTAAGAGGAAAAGATACAAACAATCCTAAGGTTATATATCTGACAAATAAAATAATAATTTTTTAAAATAATAATAATCAATTCATCAAAAAACAACTTCATTTTTATTAGGGCTGCCAACGGTCCGGGTTGGACTTCGGGCTTCTAGGCCGGGTCAGTTTCTGGGTTGCTATTAGGCCTATTTTAGTGCTTGTTGTAGGCTTCGTGTCGGGTCGGGTCGTGGTAAAACATTGTTCATCAGGCCAGGCCAGGCCAGGCTGGTGCGCTTGGAAATATTTTGGCCCGACCCATTTATAAGTTTTTTTTATTATTATTTTAAATCTTCACTCGTCAAACTTTTTTTGTTTGTAGTAAGCTAAATAAAAATAAAAATAAATATATGTTAAGACATTTTTTTGAAAATTCAGAACCCATTCTCTCTCTAGAAACCCAATCTCTTTTTTCTCTATCTAAAAACCATTATCTCTCTCAAAAAACCCAATCTTATTCCCCCTCTAAAAACCAATCCTTCTCTCTATAAACTCAATCTCTCATGCTCTCTCTAAAAACCCATTTTATCTCTCTAGAAACTAATATCTCTCTTTATCTAAAACTCATTCTCTCTCTCTAGAAACTCATTCACTTTAAAACCTAAAATCTCTTTTTAAAAACCTATTATCTTTCTTTATAGACCCAATCTCCCTTGCTCTCTCTAAAAACTCTCTCTCTCTCTCTCTAGAAACTCAATCGGTCTCTCTCCAAAAACCCTTTCTATCTAAAACCTGTTTTCTCTCTAATCCAATTTCTCCTACGCTCTCTAAAAACCTATTCTCTCTCTAAAAACCCAATTTCTATTTATCTCTCTAAAAACTCATTCTCTCTCTAGAAACCCACCTCTTGCTCTTTTTAAAAACCTATTCTCTCTCTTTAGATACCCAATCTCTCTTTCTCTCTCTAGAAACCCATGTCCTCTAACTAGAAACCTAATCTATGTTTCTCTCTCTAAAAATCCATTCTATCTCTAGAAATCCAATCTCTCTCTAAAAACCCATTTTATCTCTAAAAACCCAATATCTCTCTTATGCAACCATGCCCCTTCGTGATAGGGTTAAAGAAGGGTCGCAGAACGCAAGAGGAAAAAAAAAAGGCAATGACATAATAAAGGAAAATTATTAGGGTTATTTATTAGGATTATTTTAATTATTCGTTTGTTTAAGGAGTGTGCAGGGATAATTAGCAGGGCAACACTTTAGAGTTTATATTGTGTTTATCTTGTATTGATTGGGTTAGTTTGATGATATAATTAGGATAAGGGTAAATTTAGAAAAGAGTTTATCTTTATCAACAATAACCAACTAAGGAGGCTTTTTTGGGTAAAACATAAGAGAGAAAACGTGGCTATCTAGAAGCCCAATTTTGACACATGAATATGAGAGAGAGAAAAAGGGGATAAGTGTAGAGAGAAGTTTTTTTTATTAGTTATCTTATTTTAGTCTATTTAAAGAGACATCTCCTGTCATTGTAAATCAGTTTATAAATTGAATAAACATTAGTCGCTTGAAAGAGATCGTTTTAGGTGTGGACTCCCTTGCAGACCTTTGAGAGAGGGCATTTTTCTATCAACCTTCGTTCTTTTTATCAATTTTCTGGTTTTATTCCCTCCCTGCATCAATTGGTATCAGAGCGGGGTCCAATGGCTTCACAAGAGACACCCCTCGATGGATTACAAGTATTAACTGGATTAGTTCAAGCCCTAGCAGAGATAGTAGACCAATTAGTGCCTGTAGCTGCAAAAGTCGATGAGCTTATGCAAAGGTTTGCTCAGCTTCAAGATGGAAGGAATCCGGAGACTAGCGTTGGAACTCAAGGCAATAGAGATGAAAGAGGTCTGCATCTTGTTCCTAACCAACTTCGAGTGGCCCCGGCTAATAACGAATTCAATGAACGAATTCTTTGATTGTTGGAAAGAGAAAGAGAACCTGAAATTAAAATTACTATTCCAGAGTTTTATGATCGATTGCATGCTGATGATTTTCTTGATTGGCTAAGTAAAGTAGAGAAAGTGTTTGAGTACAAAGATATTGCAGATCACAAAAAAGTAAAATTAGTAGCCACAAAATTTTCTGGCTATACATTGGTTTGGTGGGATTATTTGCAACATGATCGTCTTCGACAAGGCAAGGAAAAGATTAATTCGTAGGAAAAGATGAAGACGAAGATGCCCCGAAAATTTTTGCCAGTAAATTATGCCCGAACTTTGTACCAAAGGTGTCAAAGCCTCAAGCAAGGTGAAAAGTCGGTAAGTGACTATATTGAAGAGTTCTATATTTTGACATCTAAGGCAACTTTACAAGAGTATGAAGATCAAAAAATAAGTCGTTACTTGAATGGGCTAAATCAAGACATTCAGAATAAATTGGACTTCAAAGATGTCTATAAGATGTTTGATGCATATACTTTGGCCCTCAAAGCAGAGGAAATAGTCAATCTAAGTCTTGGGAGAAATAGCTCAGTGACAAGAGGCCCTATTTCAATACAGGGGCAGCAAGTTTTAACCTTTAGAAGACCACCTATAGGGCATGGAAATCAAACCTCTCAGAATTTTCCAATTAGGCCAAACTCTAATATGATGAGAGGTGGTGTTGGAAGAGGGTTGAGAGGACATAAAACATTTCGTGATAATACACAAATAGTGTGTTTCAAGTGCCAACAACCTGAACATATGACATTCAATTGCCCCTCACATCAACCCCTTGTAAAAGTTAATTTGGTTGAAGAAAATTATGAAGAAGAAGTTGATGAAGGATACACCTATGAAGGCCAAGGTGATATTGGGACGAA